GTTGACTGTTGCGTTGTTGTCGCAGATTTAGACTTGATGTGCTGAATCAGTTCACCACAGCGTTAAGTGGGTTCGACAGTGCCACCGCACGTAGGCTTCACAGTATGGTGGCGCCAGGATTTGCCCGACAGGGTGTTCGAGGCCTTCAACAGGGGTTCAGATGTCCCCGACAGGGGGAGCTGATGCCCCAGAGCAAAAAAAAAATGTGGGCGTGGTCGGGTGTTGCTCAAAATCTCTTGAAAGTTTCCAGGGGCAAAGCTCCAAAAAATACGACAATTTAAGTGTTTCATAGGCTTATTTAATCAGTTTTGGGGTCTACTAATATGTAAAAAATACATATACATTTTTTTTCCTCCTTGATGAATTGTGGTTTTTCTTCCCAACGGGGCCCCACACCCCCTCCCCCTTTGGTGCCACCCCAGAGGCTTCACCTTGTTAAGTTGTATTTAACCTTAAAAATATTTAATTCAATATTTGAATTGATAAGTTATAAAACGTAAAATTTTATTTGCGTTTCTTACTATTTTTATTACCTTATGTTCCAGTTATGTTTTTTGGAGCAAATAATTCCACGTAACTTTGTCCTAATGCAAATTCTAGTTATGTTTTTGGCAAAAGTTAAATTTCCCGCAAACCTAAGCCTTGATTTGATTCGTATAATTGCAACCGTAGGGTATGTTAGAAACATTAAAGATCACTTGTTGGCGATTCAAGATAAACGTTTCCCTGCAAGGCCAAGTTGAACTGTCACCATAAAAATACTCAAGATTAATCCTTAAAGATATTGAAGGTTTCATCGCTTCCGTTTAAATAAAAATATTATACTTGACTTCTGTAAGAATTAACTAAACATAAAAAAAAAAATATCTGCTATATGTGTATGTGTATATTGAGCTTGGTGGTTGACAATCTCATGCTCAATGCAATATAATTTAAAATATTTCTTTTGTCATATCTAAATATATATATAAATCATGATATAATAAAGATAAATGCTCTTGCAGCAATGCTATAAATGTATATTAATAAATCTTGTGAAAAAATAGGTCCCTAAATAGGATTCGAACCTATGACCTTCTGCTGTCTATGCAGATATATATATATATATATATATATATATATATATTTTTTTTTTTTTTTTATTGAAATAAAAATGTGTATATTTGTATCTATTATATTTTATCTAGGTAGGGTTAAACATTATAAATAATCTATGTTCTTACAGGCAGGGTACAAATATATATTTGCATCATCATAAAGCTACAGTAGTCTCTAGGAATTGCTTTATGATCGTCATAAACGTACACAGCCACTGCAATAGGCTTTGCCAAGGTTTAACTAGCCTACCAGAACCATTTTGTTTACCAAAGTTAAATTGCAATTTCCAATAACCTTCCTGTGTTGTAGTTCAGGAGATTTTGTTACGTCTCAATTTCAAAATCTTAATTAGTTGTCAGCTCCTGGTGTATATTTACCACAATTTGTTCTACCATTTCTTCAGATTCTAGGCTACCAGACTGTGTTACTATACATATATATCTTGTGTTTTTTTGTTTTTTTTAATGAATGAATCATATGGCCTGGTCGCTGTTTTTTTTTTTAAATTGATGAATAAGCTGTATTCTTCCGCTGTATGAGTCTAGCATTTTTTTTTTTCGCTATATATCAGATTTTCATGGAAACCTAGAAAAATCGCCTCTGGTTCGACGTAGATAGATGATTGCTGAGATTTGGTAACCAAATGATCTTGATTAATCTAGCTACGAGCAGTGTCTCAAATTGTTGAAGAGGATCATGGAGTAAAGTTTGGGGAATCTGGTTCTCAATGCTCAGGTTGACAAGATTGATAAATTTATAATCAGTGGGAGACATCAATCACCCTTGTGAGTCATACCAGTCAATTACTGATTAAAAAGCTTTGTTTTTATTATTTTTTTTCTATTTTGTTCTTTTATCAAAAAAAAAGGATTTCTCTAAGTTATTTGAGTGGATTTTAAAAAATATTTTTAGTCAATTTTAATTACCGAGGGTAACCTGACACTGCAGTATGCTGACAATCCTGTGGCCCTCAGATAAAAACATTACAACAATCAGAAAAGTAATACAGAAATACATAAAAATATTTAATTATTAATCAATAATTTACCATATGTACATTGGAAATAAACAATGCATTAATAACTCAATAAAAAACAAATTTTAAATCAAATCTATCAAAAATTTTGTTTAAAGCATTAATCATATAAAAAAAATCTTTTAATATGTAAAATTTTATATATAAACAATTAAAAAAAAAATTATAAAATCGGATACCAATAAAATTTAGTTTCTAGATTGAAAATAACTTATATTAAGTTACCATCATTACATTATTATTAACTTCATCAAAATGATTGTCCTGATTATCTTTATTATCATTATCTTCATTAACATTACTATTATGATCAGCCTTATTTTCAGCATCAACATTACCATGATTATCATCGTTTCATCACCATTTGATTATCAATAATCATCACTGATATTTTCATTATCATCATCAACATCATCATCATAACTATCATCATCATTGTCATCATCTTCTTTATCATCATCTCCATCTGAAAAGATTTTCTCTATTTGAACTATCATCATTCAAAACTCTTCCTATTTCAAGATTAAAACCCAGATTAAAATGGTTGAATGTGAAAAGGCAATCGCTCAAAATAATCGTACGACATTAGATGCTCACAGTGACTGGTTTTAGATAAATTGGATGTGAAGAAAAATGGTTTTTGACTAATAACACCGATGGCACATGAATCGTCGATAAAATAATTATGATTTAGTAATGATGAATTCAGTAAATTAGCCTCATCATCTATAGCATCCACTATCGAAAGGGATTATCATATTCCAGATTTAAATTAATGTGTATAGACTGTACTTTTTCACAACCAGCAGTTCAGAATGTAGGGCTGCCTATCATGACTATTGTATTAGTTGTGATAAACCCAGGAAACAATAGTGTTTTTAGAATCCGTATTGATTTTGGCTTGTGACTGGGTGTGTGTATGCACCAACTGACACCCCTGGTAATCAAATGCGTCAAACGTAAACGTCATTCACTTTGTGCGACACCTTTATTAAGAAAAAACAACATATCAACATTTATTTCATAGAGCAAGATAAAATTTATACCAAAAAAGTGTGAAATTGCTTTTCTATCTATCCTTTCCCATGTATTTATTCTCAGGTACAATAAACCTATTACCGATACTAGTACTACTGTCGTATTACCAGTTCTAGTACTAACAGTACTACTGCACTTTGTAACTGATTTTACTTTAATTGATTGCACATCTTATCTACAAGATTCTTTTAATTACTGTCTATGAAATTAGAAAGTAATTTGCATAAATTAAATAATTTAACAATAGCACATTTTATTAAACAAAGGCACTGTGTGCAATCATGCTATTTGTATAGACAGTCATACTAAAACAATTAATAAAATATTACTTAGAGTAGTAGGTGGAATTTTTTATTATTTTTAGAACCATCAATTTATTATCGGAATCATTAATTGACAGATCTACCTAACAATTATTAGAATTTATAAAAAAAAACAGCATGCATTTATATGTTTACATCGTGTTTTATCATTCTAAATTTTTTTGGTATATAGCAAAACAAGCAGTGTATCATCACCAATATTATTGGTTTATCATGACTTCATCAACACTGATGA